GTTTTGAATAAGAGTTTCAGAAATCAATTTGGTCAGCGGCTTCGTTGTTTTCCATGCTCATAAACAGATCAATAAGTTATTAATTTTTTTTACTCTTCCTTGTAAGGCAGGAATATATAACTTCCCTTAATATCATTATTTACTTGCTTGACAGCTGTGTAATTTGTCCCTTTAAAAAGAACATTTTGGGGGGCTGCGGAGATAGCTCAGTAGAATAACGGGTTCAATCCCTGGTACCACATGCTGAGCTGCACCCCACCCCCATCCCGTGTGCTGAGTTGGCCCTTCAAGACCAGGTATGTTAGCACATGCCTGTAATCGCAGCGGTGGAGGCTGCAAACAGGGAGGTCACTACAAGTCCCAGCTACGTAGTGAGACCCTGTACCAAATACATAAATTAAAAAAAAAAGAATTTAAGTTAGGAAGGCAATGCAGTAAGATTATAGATGCTCTGTAAAGTGGGAGCAGAGTTTCCCGTAATCATAAGGCCCTAAAGTTTGTTAATAATTTGGTCTTTATATGACATTTTGATGCTGTGTAGCCTGTTATATCCTGTCATATTAAATTATGCAGTTTAACTTTTTTTCCTCTTGCATTGTTCAAGTTTTTTAAATGAATATATATAAAAAGTGTGTATATACACATGTAATCTGATAAATTTGTTTTCCTCATTTTTTTCTTTTAGAAAAGATTCTCAAAATGGATCATTTGTGGGACCTGTAGGCTTGAACACTCATAATTTTTGTAAAATTTGTTAAAATTTAAAGCTAATCTGTTTATACTGCCTCACAGCATATATGAGATGTTAAGAAAGTACCTGTTTCACTCACCATGACTGCACTACGAATTATTTTAAAATCACTTTATGTTCCTCAGTGACTTTTTTTTTTTTTAATGTATTTGGTACAGGGTGTCACTACACAGATCATTTTCAGCCTGCCAAACACTGGGATTGCAGACGCACCCCACCAAGCCCGGTCTCAATTGCCATCACAGCATGCCCCAGGGCTGGCACGGCACACTAGCGATCGAACCCACTGCTGCGCTCTGCCTAAGCAGACGCTTTAGTCCGCTGAGCTATCGGGCTGGCCCCCATGAATTTTTTTACAGTTGTGAATTACTTGTTTTCTCTTCCACATTAACAGAAAGAGAAAACAAGTAATTCACAACTGTAAATATATGGCCATATGGGTTTTCTAGCAATGTGTTGAGCTCTTGATGAGTTTTCTGTCTTGTTCATTTTAAAATAGCTGAAACATTAGTGATTCTTAGTCACTTTTATGGTAAGCTTCCTTTTTTGCCTTTGAGTTTATTTTGTTCAGTTTAACTTCATTTTGCTTATTAATGCATAGAAATTTCATGTTTTGTGAGGCTTAAATATTATCTGTCCATAGAAGAAGCTATGTGATTTCAAAGACGGAACATAGGGTGGAAAGGTAGGAAGTCGGGATTTGGAGAGGAGAAGTCCTTCACTTTACCTCGAAGGACCTGAGAGCTGGAATGTTAGAATATTTGCTAATCAATAAGTAAAGGGGGGCTGGTGAGATGGCTCAGTGGTCTAAAGCACCTATTTGGAACAAGCTTGGCAGAGCACAGGGACCGCGGTTCAATCCACCAGCACCACATGCCAGCCAGCCCTGCCCCCAGGTGGGCTGAGCTGGCCACACACACACACAAATAAAAATATTAAAAATAAGTAAAGGGCAGGCAGTTAATTTCAAAGATAAGAACAAGTCTAAAATAGGCCCTTCCTAAAAGAGGTCCAGATTAGGCTGAAGGAAAGCAAACTGGTTTATTTTCTGTATAAAGTATTAAAAATGTACATACTTTGAAAGCCACGTGTCACTTTAGAGCTAGGTGCATGTGAGAACGTGCATCCAGTGTGCAGCTGCTCTGCTGGTTCCTGGTACCAGCATCTGTGTTACTGTGCTTGGGCAGGAGAGCATTCACCCTTTATGGAAATGGTCATTGCAGTTTCTTTGGGTTTGAATGTGATGTTAGCCTGTACTGTCTGGCCACTATGCATTTTCGCGGCGTGTCGGGGGAATCACAGTGATTTCTTCAGGGGTTTTAGTACCCGTAGTGGGATTCAGGGTTTTCTTGAAATTTAGAGAGAAAGAGCATTAAATGGAAAGGAAATCAGAAATTCAGGGGTTGAAATGTTAAGTGTCATAAAAAAGCATGTTGAAAAACTCCACCTAAAATTCACAAACACGTGTTTCTTAATCTTCACCACAGACTATGATGTGAATTGTTTTTGTCATTACAAATGGAATACTTGTGGGAAATTCCCCTGTGCCCTGGGACAAAAGCTTGTTTTGGTGTGCACAGCTCACCTAGTTGTGGTGCAAGTCTCCTTGTGTCAGGAGCCACTCCCGGTTACTCCTGTGTTTAGTTGTTCTCATAGAATCTCAAAAATAGAATGATTTTAGTGTACTTTTGCTTTCAGAGGCATCTTGTCTTACAGTTGTCCTTTTAGGTTTCCTAGCATCCCTTCAGAATATATTCTGTGTTCTCTTTTCCCTGGCAAAATAGCCTTCCCAAGCTGAAGCTGCCTGCTTCTTATACTTTCTTCTTTCTCGGATAATAGCTGTTCGCATGAGCCTGGGCTGCACTGATCAGCCTGTCATTTCTCTCTTACAGCTTATGCCCCCTTGACCACTGGACTCACCCGCCTAGAGCGAGGGAAGGTGAGACAGTCACCCTAGCACATTTTCCCCCTTACAATTCTTAGAGGTTCCGTGTCTCCCTCCCTTCCCACTGGCCTAAATTCTACCTGTTTGCCTTTCCGTGAGGCCCCTGTGGTATCACGAGAGCAGTCTTCTAGCTGGGCAGCCTTGTAGCTGGGTAGTCTTGGTGGGTCTGCAGCCTTCCTTCAGAGTCGCCCTTCCTGAATCTCAGCACTCCTGCTGCATCCAGAGCTTTCCTTACCTGTGTACTTGTGCCATGGCCATGTTCAGACACGTTTTAATGTATTTTACTGAAAAAGATGCTTCCTGACCTCCTCTGCAGATATCCTGAATTGAATTCAAGATACAGTGGTATTTCCAGCTTCTTCGTGAGGCACAGACTCTACTCCTACAATCTCAGATTTCCTGTTCAGGATTTTCGTGAATTTTATTGTGCCCCTTGCTGGATAAGCTTAAGTGCATTTGCTTAAGGGTAGGAAACACTTACTCTAAAATCCCTGACTTGTTTACTGTCACACAAACAAGTTACAGACTGGTCCATTTGCACCAGTAACTAACTGAAGGTCGCATCTTATGCCACCTTGTTTACTCACATGGAAAATGGTCTTGCTGTACCTCTTACAATGAAAAGTTGCCAGTTAAAACGTTAGACCAGCTTGTCTCTTTTCTTTCATTTATCTGTTCTACCTTTTGCCAGCTGTATTTGAGCATTCTAATTTTATCCTAGATAAGGACTTAATTAGCAAGGAGTACACATTTCAGAAATCCAGTATGAACTGCTTCTGTGTGATCTGTAGCTCTAGATTAGCCATGCCGTAAGACTTTAAGATAAAGATGAGAAGGCAGACATTGTGTCGTGATTTTGACGTTCAGTGCATCTATTTTGTTTAGATGTCCCTGGTAGATTTGGGAAAGAAGCTTTTAGAAGCGGCACGAGCAGGCCAAGATGACGAAGTCCGTATTTTGATGGCAAATGGAGCTCCTTTCACCACAGACTGGGTAAAGAATGACTTTGGTGTTGTGGTTTCTTCTTTCTTCTTTATCCTTCTCATATTCTGTAGTTTTTTTCAGGTAAAATTTGAGTTAGCATTATGTTGATAGAGAATAATTTTATGAATATGTTTTCTATTTTGGAAGTAAAACTATGTTAAAGTGAATGGCTCATAATGTTTTCTTATGTTTGACAACATTAGCCAAATATTGTACCCACAAAATGTTTTCTTTTAGCCTTTTGGAGGATAAACTGACTGTAAGATGGGATAGAATGAACATAAGGCCTACGTGCTCTAAACAGCACAGGTAGATTTTATAGTTGAGAAAGTACTAGTAAAGGTGAGAATTGTAACTGCTAAAAAGCAAAAATGTATGTTTTGGCTGACATTTCTAAAGCTGCTGCCACTTGATTGAGGGAAGGAGGGAATGGGGATGAGCCCCCGGTCGTTGTGCAGGTCGAGCCAGAAGGGATGGTTCTGGGGTGTGGCGGGCGCGGAATCCGGATGAGGCCTCCTGTTGATGACAGCTAACAATTCCAGGCTTTTAATATCTTTTTCATGCACTTACCCTTGTTGTATTTTTTAAGGTAAAGCTTTTTTAGAGAAAAATTTAAACATATTGAGCCTTGCATACCCTTCAGCCAACTCCAGAAATCACCAAATGATGGTAAATCTTGCTTCCACTGTTGTCCCACCCATTTTTCCTTCTGTGTTATTAAAACACCTCCCAGGGCCCGTATCATTTCATTCAGAAGTATCTCAGCAGCTGTCGTTAAGATATAAAGCCTCAAATGAATTAAAAAAAATTACAAGAAAAAAAGGAGAGAGTGATAAAGCAAGCTGCTTCTTTCATTAAGTATTTTCAACAAAATTTTCTTCCATGCATTACTAGGACAGAAAATAAACATTTGTCAACCTAAAAAATTTGAGTGCAGGCTAGAACCCAGAGACATTTTACCCCACGAATGTTTGTGAACTTAAGCTTGCCCGTTGGTGTTCCTGCCTCACTGGCGTGGGATTGGGCATCCAGGAGGGGGTCCCCGCTGGCCTGGGATTGGGCATCCTGGAGGGGGTCCCAGCGAGCAGGACCTTCAGCATAGGGTGAAGGGAAATGCCCTGCCCACCTCCCCCCTCCTGTCCCTGCGTCTGTGCAGGGGCTGCTAGAAAAGTGGCCCTACTTGAACTAAGAGGGGAAAATTTATGGGTAAGAATTTAGAGTTACAAACCATCCTTTGCATGTCTACAGCCTGCACTCACAATTCTCAGCATTCTTAAAGACTGGAAACTGAGAAGTGAACTTGAGTGCGCTTTACCAGGGATGGCCTGGCAGAAGGCAGTGCTTGTCCTCTGTGGAGGAGCCTGCCTGTGTTCCAGGCTGCACATCCACTGGAGAGACTCAGGGAAAGCAAGCAGTTCCCAGCAGCTGAGCATGCGAACACGCAGCACCCTGATCCATCACCCGCTGTAACAGCTGGAGCAGAAGCAGACCTCCCAGGACGTCAGATAAGACTTCAGTAACAAGCACAAGCGAAGAGTAAAATCTGTAAACTGAAGGATAAGACATGGAAGTAAAGCAAAAAAGGCCAGGGTATAACAGAAAAAATAGATAAAAAATAGAAAAGTGGTTAAGAGTCATGGGGAGAATCAGGGTGGAGCAATCTGAGGCAGTCACTCAGGGTTTTTCACGACTAATGAGAAAGACCACAGCCTACAGAGCCTGGAGGGATCCATTTTTTAAAAGTTTGGTCTAGATACATAGTGATGGCGTAGTGCATCAGATAAAAAGATCATAAGAAGGATTAGTGTTCACAGTATACAAGCAACCTTGTGGGTCAGTAATAAAAGGTCACACATGGAGTAGGAGACTGGACTGGTGTCGTAGTGTGGCACTATATCTGCCAGAGGAACAAAAAATGTCTGGTGTACCAAGCCTCGCTGTGAAAACTGTGAGCTCTGTGCTGCTTTTGGTGGGAGCGCATCGGTGTGGTCACTTGGAGAGAGTTTCAGCATATGTACCCTGCGAGGTGGCAATTAAATTTCCAAGGACACTCCCAGTAGAGGGCAGCGTTGTTCACGTGTTTAAGATGCCTGTAGGACTGAACTCTCCAGCAGGATTATTCCCAGTAACAAAACTGGAAGCAGCCCAAATGTTTATTTTGTTGAATGGAACATTGTAGAGCTGAGAAAATTAGTGACTGGCTTTGACAGTGCTGAGCATGAGTCATTCTTAATGAGCATAACGTTAAGCTGAATGTCAGTGGAAGTCACCAAGAAACAAACAGCAGAGTTGTGTTTAAGGAAGAGTCACAGCTGGGCGTGGTGACGCATACCCGTGATTCTAGCACTCAGGAGGCTGAGGCAAGGACATCACAGAGTGGGCAAGATCAGCCTGACAGAGCCACAAAGTGAGAGCTTGTTTCCAAAAACAGTTTAAATGGGCCAGCATATCATTTAGACATGGTAGTGATACCAGAAAAACTGAGCAGTGTGTGTCACAGAATCCCGAGGAGTACTTTTCCCTGGAGCCATGAAGGGGGTGTGTGTGTGTGTGTGTGTGTGTGTGTGTGTGTGTGTGTGTGTGGCTTGGTGAGGGAGTGACAGGGCAAGCTTTGAATTTCCTGGCAGTGTTCTACTTCTAGTCTGTAGGGACAGCTTTACAGATGTTTGCTTTTTCTTTAAACTGCATGTGTGTGATGTGATATATATATATATATCTCCAGCAGCAACAGCACAGAGTAGATCCCAGTAGCATATTGAGCAAAGCTAGTGGTTGCTAAATGTATTGTTAAGTACTTGTGTTAAATAGTAGCACTTAATAGTATGAGCTGGCCTTGGTGGTACACCCCTGTATTCCCAGCTACTTGGGCAGCTGAAGCAAGAGGATCACAAGTTTGAGGCCAGCCTGGGTGGTACAGTGATACCCTGTATCCAAACACAACAACAAAACTAATAATTAAAAAGAGTTAAAGAGTGTCAAAAGAGCTAGCTTTAAGAAAATCTGACCAACTGTGGAAAAGGAGCGTTCAGGAATTGATCTACTGGAACGACCTTGCCTTAAAATTATATAGTTTTTGGTGGTATTAAAATAATTATTCCCAAGGTCAGCGATCTCAGTTTTTACCGTGCAGTTAGCATGCATGCCCAGCTTGGTATCCCAGCTCCTAGTGTGACTTGAGGCCGGCTGAAAAGCCCTGTGCTGTAGGTTCTCTCGTTGTCAAACAGGACACCAGTCACCTGTGTTAGGAAGGGATGACAATGTGTGGCATTTAGAATAGTGTGCACTGTGGAGATGCTGCAACGGCCTAGGTGCCCTTGCTACCATGGCAGTCTTGGGAGACTTCATGCTGCAATGAAGTACCTGCACTCCCTGGAGAGTCAGGGACGTGGTGGTCAGAGTTGCAGCGATTTTCTGGGCCTCTGAATGCACACGCTAGAGCCCTTGTTCTCCATTCCACATGTGCGCGGCTGTGCCTCTCTGGTAGCTACTGTTCCTTCACAATCCGAAAGTGCACTACTTGCTCTGCGTATCATGATGTCGACTTAGTGGAGGACCCCACAGAACCAATTTCAGAACTGAGCTGTCCCAATTCTGTCCAGACCTGCCAGCAAGTACACCAGAGTTTTCCTTTCAAAATGACTCTGACCTCCTTTATAAAGATCAAGGTTGTATTGTTTAAGTGCTGTAGAGTAGTTTTGGTCTATTAACTCTAAAAATGTACGCTATCAACATTTACTTTAGGTGAATTTTATAGGTAGGCAAAAGTTGATTTAGCAAATTTTCTGTGATTGGCATAAATCATCCCACTACTCAGAAAAATTTCTCAAGCCCTAATTATCTCTAATTTTTTTCCATAATTTTATTGAGAAACAAATAGCAATGAGACAGTTTCAAACCAAATTGGTAGGACAGTTTCAATAATTAACACATTGCATACATTCTTCCTAGTGGTTAATTGCTGTACAAGATGTGGACATGATATCCAATTTACAAACACTATTAGAACAAATCTCTCTATTCATTAAGAGAATGTAACTATATATCTGTCCTAACCATTTTGAATACACAGATACAAAATGGACATTCATCTGTATCCCCTTTTTTGTTAAGTTCCGTTATTTGAATATTATAGGTGTGTTAACTCAGCAAAATATTCTAAAAGAGTCCAGTAGCCCATAATAGTATTGGGTCTTCCACTTGACTGGCATTGTCAGAAATTGTTGACCTGAGTTCCCTACAGCTCAACATAACAGCATGGCTTTACTTCTTATATTTCGTTTTTATACTTTTCTGCTGGATGGTTAAGACCAAGGTAAAGCAGGACCTATGCAACAAGAGTTGTAGCTTTTGGGTCTGATAAGGTCAGTGAAATCCTCTCAGGATTTATCCTGAGATCCTGTACCTCAGATTGTAGAACCTTTGTCAGTGTCAGCCATGTGGATGAGTCACGGCCATTGCTTGGCCAATGTGCTCTCTGTGAAAGCCTAAGAGAATGTTTTCTCTCCTTGTGACTCTCCTTAGGCACACTCTACATCATAGATCACTTTCCTCTTCGGCCCCATAATCTCCTTGATGAGAAAATTTGGGACACTACCAAGTTACATGACGTTACAGTACAAGTTCTCATATGTCATGAGTCTTAATTGACCTTGAAAGGCTAGGGCCAAAATGTTGGCTTTCCTTGTGGCCCTCCTTTTTCTCTAATTTTGGTCTGCAAACTTAGGTGGTTAATCCTCCAGAATTATCTCTAACTTGTAATGAAATTAATCTTGCTTAAATTAATTTTGGTAAAAAAGAAATGAAAATTTGAATTAAAGGAAATATGGACTTTTCTTCCTAAGTTCAGTAATGAGAATTCTCGAAGGCTTCTGTAAAGAAGATGTAATAAGCGTCAGGTTATTTCTTTTGAGTTCCAAGTTGCTGTATTTCAGATGGCATAGCCTGCTTACTGTGTAGGAAAGGCTGTAAAATAGAGCGCAGTAGCAGAATTGCCTCAGTGCAGCAGCCCATGTGTTGTTCCGTGTTTCCTGTGTCAGCTGGGAACGTCTCCACTGCACCTGGCAGCACAGTATGGCCACTACTCCACCACAGAGGTGCTGCTCCGAGCCGGCGTGAGCAGGGACGCCAGGACCAAGGTGGACCGGACGCCATTGCACATGGCCGCCTCCGAGGGCCACGCCAGCATTGTGGAGGTCTTGCTTAAGGTACGTGTTCTCTCTCTGCTCTCAGTCTACCAAGACTTCCTGGCTTTATAAGAAGAAGAAAAGAATTAGTTTTATTGACTATTTCCAGTTTTATCTATTATGTTGTTTTCTTTGGTGAGGGGGAAAGACTTCCCTAAGGAGTGCTCTTCATTAAATCAGACAATTAAAAATGGCCCTTGGGCTGGGGATATAGCTCAGTGGCACAAGTGTCTGTCTGGCAAGCACAGGTCCTGAGTTCGATTCCCAGTGCCAACAAAAGCTCTTTGGGTGAGGATCTACAAACTTTGTCCTAATACAATACAGGTTTGTCTTAAAAATGCTTAAGAAAGAGAACATAAGGCTTGGATAATTAACAAATTAACAAGGGATATAAGTGAGGGTTTATCTTTAATCATCCAAATCCCAAAAGTGATGAAGAAAATTCTGAAACAAAGTGATGCACTGTTTTGACCCTTTCATCCTGGCCTATACAAAAGAAATACAATGTAAAGCATAAATGCAAATCACACATAATTCTAGATAATCTTTAGCTATTTCTGAAGAGGTAAAAATTAATTTTAGTATTGTATTTACCCTAGTATACCCAAAGCATTTTCATGTTGACATGAAATAAATATAAAATTATTGAGATAGTTCACATTGTTTTTTTGGTACTGTCTTTGAATTCCAGTATTTATACATAATTATGCACATCTTTTTTTGGTACTGTCTTTGAATTCCAGTATTTATACATAATTATGCACATCTTTGTTCTGACTAGCCACATTCAAGTGCTTCGTGGCCACATGTATCACCTGGGTATCAGGTTGGACAGTGTATCTTCTTTATGTTGTACTGACTTGGAAAGTAAAATATATTTTTGAATAAATGAGAAACATAGCACTAGACAGTTTTGGAGGAGTGTTTTACTTCTTATTCTGTTTGTTTCTTTGTTTGTTTGAGACAGGGTCTTGCTATGTAGTTCAGGGTGGTTTTGAGCTTATGCATAGCCCAGGCTGGCTTCAGACTTGCAGTGATCCTCCTACATCAGCCTCTTGCATGCTGGGATTAGAGGTGTGTGCCACCACATCCAGGCTGTACACCATTCTTAGTAACTTTTGAGAAAATTAAAAATAAAAAGGCCTGAAGCTGAGCGGGGAAAAAATTGCCTGATTTCAAAAAAATTAAAAGAAACGCATTTGGGAAAGTTAGCATGATAGAAAAGTGATCAGCAACAGAGAAGTGACAATTTCTGGGACATGTACTTAATACACACAAGACTTCTTTATGTATTTGTTCTTGCTTCAAAGCATAGTAACTAGTACTTCCATGTTGGAAATTCTTTGTATTCCACATATTAGCAATGTGCAATATCTTATTTTAAAAAATATTTTTTGTAGCATGGTGCTGACGTCAATGCAAAAGATATGTTAAAGATGACAGCTCTACATTGGGCTACTGAACACAATCATCAAGAAGTGGTGGAACTTCTAATCAAATATGGTGCTGATGTACACACTCAGAGTAAATTTTGTAAAACTGCATTTGATATTTCCATAGACAATGGAAATGAAGATTTAGCAGAGATATTACAGGTAATATGGCTTGTAATTGAAGGAGACAAAGAAAGCTGTGTAGATGGGTGTGTCTTACAGATGTTTTAAAGCTTGTAGCTTTTCCCTTGGTCCCTTGGACTCAGTCGTTTTAGAAGGATTCTTTTTTTTGGTGGCTGACTCCAGCTGCCTTAAGGGTGGGTCTGGTGCAGTACGTGTTGCTGGGGATCGAACCACGTCCCTTGTGCCTCACTGAGCTTGCCCAAGCAATTGCTTTAGACAGCTGAGCTAACACACAAGCCCCCCAGACTCGTTATTTTAGACAGGCTTTTTTCTGTTGCACTTCCTCTTGTTTATTACTGTTCATTTTCTTGATGGTAAGACCACAGCCTGCATGTAACAGAAGATTAGATAAGGTGATTACTTTCTGTGTTTTAAGTTTCTGAATTCCCTTTCCAGGCTTGTTTAATTTATGTTGTACATTTGGATACCATGTGGTTTTTCAAAGTCTATAGTTTATAACAATTAAAAAAAAAACCAAACAACTTTTACCCACCAAAATAAGATCCTTTGAGTGTTAGAGTCTTTATCATTGTGATTTATTTTTCATCATCCTCTAAAAAATCTATATGTGGACATAGTTACTTTTGCTGTAACCGGCATTACTTATCTATTTTCAGCTAGAGGATATTGATATAAATTATCTTTACTTAGTGCTTCTTCTTGCCTATCTTTTTGTAGAACTCTCTTTAAGATAATCTGACCTTGTTGAATTTCCATGCATTGCATATAAAATGTTTTAGGCTCAAGAAAATGAATTTTTCATGCCCTTATTTTTTATGTGTAGGAGTGCAGTCTGAGGGTTGGGGCTGAAGGTCGGGAGTAATTTATTAGGGAGGCTGTGCTTTATGTATGTAGCATTATACATTGCCAAAGGCAGTGGAAGAAATAACAGATAATTTCTCTTGCTACAGAGCAGAATATCTTCCAGTGTTTAGTTTTAGTGTGTTCTATAAGCCGTTCAGATTCTTATTTCTCTTCTAACAGGATTTTGCGCTTTACTTAGCATGGCATCTTGGGATATAAATTTATAGTTATATTTTACATTGCACTCAGTCCATAAACTTATGTTTTTGTTTGTATTACGTGGTCCTTCTTAGAAATGCTCCCTTTATGTGTATGTTTATGCTACCCTGAGAATCTGCCAGCCATTCTGGCTGTAATTCTGAAAATACTGTGGTGCTGTTTGCCTAGATCGCTATGCAGAACCAAATCAACACCAACCCGGAGAGCCCCGACACTGTGACGATACACGCCGCAACCCCACAGTTCATCATTGGACCTGGAGGGGTGGTGAACCTAACAGGTCTGGTATCTTCAGAAAATTCATCCAAGGCAACAGGTATTGAGATGCATGTAGGACAGCTGTTGGGATTTTATGCGGTAGTAGGTATTCCTCCTTTTAAGAAAAGACTTGGAGAATCAGGGTAAGAGTCCATCATCCACTTTAGTGTCTTTTATATTGGCAGCTTTTTTTCTAATATAAACCTAAAGAAAGGTCATACTATAGAGTGTACTACAGTGTTACCTTTCAAGAGCTAATGCTACCCAAGCTTTAAGAGTTAAGTAGAACACAACATGAGATGTATTGGGTTAAGCTTGTTAAAAATTTGTTTTTCTTTACTCGCAGATGAAACAGGTGTGTCTGCCGTCCAGTTTGGAAACTCCTCTACATCAGTATTAGCTACATTAGCTGCCTTAGCTGAAGCTTCTGCCCCATTGTCCAATTCTTCGGAAACTCCAGGTTAGAAAAGCAAGTCGCATGTGTGCAGCAAAAGCTTCAAATTCAGATACTTAGGAAGGCTGGGAAGAGCTGGGAGGGGCTTAGGTGGGTGGGGCTCGTGGGGCGGGGCTCGTGGGGCGGGGCCAAGAGGTGTGTGCCACTGCCTGGCTAATTAAACAGACATAGAAAACCTGTTTGTGCATGTTTTACCAGTTTGTGGTTTGAGTTACACAGTATAAATCTCTATGGAGGTACTGTTGTTTTATAAAGTGAATTTTTAGTAGTTCTGTTCGAATGATACAAAAATACTTCCTGACAAAACAGAAAAGAGGGGGCTGGGGAGATGGCTCAGTGGAATAAGTGCTTCCCTGTCAAGACCAAGGGCCTGAGTTCAATCCCTGGTTCCGCCAAAAAAAAAAAAAAAAAGAACAGAAAAGAGTGTACAAAAACTGCTCAGAGGGCTCTTCCTAGATGATGGTACAAGGCACTGGTGAATTGGTTCAGACAAGCTTCACTTTATACTGACCTGAAATAATTGTTGGTGCAAATATTTTTAATCAGGAAATTTATACTCCAAGAAATAGCCTTACCTTAGTTTGAGCCATTATGTTTGGATCGGCAGTAAGGAATAGTTGTTATTTATTTAATATGTTTTTAAAAATGTGATCAGGAGCAATTCTTTGCATGCTTGCTCTGTGCTGGGCACTGTCATAAATCTCTTATTTTCAATCTCATTGAATCCTTACTGTGATTTTTTTTTTTTTTTTATGAAGAGAAGAATCTTTTTTTCTGTCTTTTGTTGACCAATTAATGATAACTGATACTTATCCATTCCCCAGTTGTTTGGCATCATAATCAAACTTTTTATTAGGGAGTCTTCAGAGTTTTCAAGTTGCTTTTGACCTTGTACAACATGTATGTGTATCACAGTGTTGTTGGACTGCTTTTATAACTGACTCCTGGATTTCTTTAGCACCTTTGTAACCACAGAATTTGTCAGAGAAAAGTGGTTCCACTACTGAGGTGCAGTGCAGTGGTAGAGTGCATGCTCAGGGTGTGAGAGGCTGTGCTGTAGTCCCTGCAGCACAAAATAGAAAGGACAAAAAGAAAAACTGATTTCATTGGTGGCTTCTATTTGCTTAAACTTGAACATTTAAAAAATTAAATTGTATGTACCTGAAAAGTAAATAGCTTTGCTTACATTTAGATGTTTGCCTCAATGAATTGGTCACCCAAGCTCCTCTCACTTTTACTTTTAAAAATATTACGGTTGAGTTTGGGAGAAATAGCAATTTCAGTTGGTTTTTATTGGATGGGACACAACAAGATTTCTTTTTAATGCTGAATCAAGTGGTGTCTTTAGAAGGTAATAAGAGCTTGAATTAAAAGTTGAAGTAAGGGTGTTGCCAGTGACGTGTGTATGACAGCCCAGCCAAGTGTGTGATCCCCGACTGCGTCCGGAATGAGGCTGCCACAGCCGAGTTCTGTGCTTCTTGGCTGTTCTGTTTCTTTTCCCATCATCTATCAGATTCACCCTGATTTTAGAAATGTTTGAAAATGCATATATTTTCCAGGGCAGTTTGGGATATAAAAATTGTATTACATGCACCTCCATTTTATATACGATGAGATAGAGCGTTCGTTGTGGAGATGAAATTGCTCCTCCTAAGTGACGTGGTGCGGGTTGTGCTCAGTCTAATCCCTCAGGTGTGCCTGCAGCCCTGCAGCACTTTCCTGAGTACTTTCTGCAGGTGGTCTGTAGGCCAGTCTCTGTTCGTCGTCGGTTTGTGGTCAGAACACATACTCGTGTCTATCATTTGTCTTCTCTAGGGGTCTCGCTTCTGCTAGCAGGCCGTGGCAGGAAGCGTTCTGCTACCATGTGCTGTTTTAGATGGTGGTAGATGAGAAGTAGGGTGAGGGCAGTCCGCATGCTACGCATTACTTCTGTCCTCTGTCTTACCAGCGAAGTGGTATATATAATAAACAGTTTCCGGAGCAGAATGTCGCAGCAGATGGCTGAATTTTGAATGGAGAGTGCAGGCTGGCTTGATCTAATAGAGAGACAGAACAGGCCCTTGTGACCAGCTGGGCTGTGCGTGCCAGTTTACTTTGGGAGATCTGGCTCTTGGGGTTTCAGTAGGACTTTTTTTGTCATACAAAACAAGTTTCAATAGTAGCCACAGAGAACCTGCTCATGTCTGTTAAAATGCTTTAAGGCTACCTGTCTTCTGAGCAACTGCACTGGCCAGCAGTCGTGTGTGGAACATCGCGCCAGGCCGCAGTGCTGGTAGGAGAGCAGTTGCTTCAGCCGGAGCTGAGGAGGGGTGCGGGGAAGGTGGGTGTGGGCTACGCTGGAGCTCGGCAGAGCTGTGTCTATAGGATCTTGCTCCGAGTCATGCCACTGAGGGTGTGCTGGTTTTCCAGTGCATTCCAAAATGAAGAGCCAGGAATCAGGCAGCTGTGTGTTGGGAACTGCAGTTATGTTCTTCCTCATAAGGAGAAAGCCCTGCCTTGGAGAACACTCTTCAAAGGACTCATGCTCTCTTATCTTCCTGCCAAAGCTTCCAGGCCACCTCTGGGTGGGTTGTGGAATCTTCACAGAGCAGTAAGGAGGAGTTGGGAAAAGGTTGGGAAGAACATTTTAAGAAGTGACTCTTGAGGCAGAAAGCTTTTCAGGGAGCCCAGAGAATAAAATGACTGAACCCGAGTGGGATACAAGGCTTCACGTGATCATGTGCTGGTCCTCATTGCAGGCCTGTAAGCCCAGCTCTCTGGGAGGCTGAGGCAGGAAGGTTGCAAGGTTGAGCCCAGCCAGAGCAATTAGCAATGTCCTGGGGATGTAAATTATCATCATGATAGGTTTAGAAAAATGTTCTGAAAGGTATTTAGTTAGAAGACTAATGCAGTCAGGAATGAGATGTATAGTAATCATAGCATGAGTTAGGGCTTGGCAAAGAGCTAGGGAGAGGTGACTAGATATGGGAGCTAAGTGGGATGTGAAGCTAGAAGCTGTGATTGTGGAGGACGTGAATCTCCTGTTTAGTGTAATTGTCTGTTCCTTTTAAAAATAGCCTTGCGATCCTGTTACCAACTTTTTCTTGCTTTGCTTTATTCTTCCTGTGTCCCAGCTGTATACTACCTTTTTTTTATGTATCTTGGTACAGAGTCTACAGGGTCTCACTACATAGATCGGACTTGTGGTGATCCTCCTCTTTTTCAGCCTCCCAGGTGCTGGGATTACAGGAGTGCGCCACCACGCCCAGTCTTGATTGCTGTCTCAGCGCATCCCGGGGGTGGGCCGGGCCGGCACAGCAAGCTGGGGGTCTAACCTTGGTCCCTGTGTCTGCCATAAAATTTAAAAAAAAAAGAGACCTCAGATATCAAGTGTTATATATTAGCTAGTTCTCTTTAAATACTACAACCTAAATTTTTAATTAGGTCAGTGAATGTTTTTAGTATTATAGTTACTTTTTATCCAGGGAGCTTTACATTTTGGATTTTATGTATGTATTTTAAATTAACAATCTCTTTGAGCTTTGAGGCTTTCTCCTTTATGTGTTGTGGTATTCTTCAGGCTTCTGGGGGCGATGGAGCCATGCCTTGTCTTCTACTGTAATTGGTTTCTTTTAAATTTTTTTAAGTACTTTACTATCACACAACTTAAAAAGAAAGCTTTTAGATGAAAGGAAAGAACTCTAGTATTTAATGATAGTCATTATAAATGGTGCAAAGATGAAAGTTCTTGAATTGTGCCTTGATTTTATGTGATCTCAGAAATTTCTTCTATATGAGTATGGTTTAAAATGCTGCCATTTGTATTTAGCATTCAACCAGTGAACATTTCTTTTTCATATGCATATGTTTTAAAAAATCAAAGCAATAGTTATTGTGCATGAAAGCCTTCGTAGTTGTTCTACTGAATACGTTGCTGTTTTATGCCCGCACTTCATCTTGTAACTGTCTTCTTAAAATTTTCTTAAGTGCTTGGTGACAAAACTAAATCATAGTTTAAAGCAAACAGATATAGTGAGAGCACTCAAGGCCAAGACTCTTTGCAGTTTAGTATTCTGGGTTGTGGTGTGACCGTTGATTACTCAAGTACCTTACAGGGAGCAGCCAGGCTTCTCACTATAGATGTGTCCTGAAAAGTAGGTTCTAGGGTTTGTCTTAGCTTTTTACAAAAGAAATCCATACATTTATGGGCTTTCTGTCTTTAGAAACTCTTTACTCTCTTTCCCTTCATGTTGGTAGATATGTTCACCAGTGTTTAATTCATCTTCCAGTAGTGGCCACGGAGGAGGTGGTTACGGCCGAGTCTGTGGATGGTGCAATTCAGCAAGTGGTCAGCTCAGGGGGTCAGCAGGTCATCACCATAGTTACAGATGGAATCCAGCTCAGAAACTTGCACTCTATTCCAACCAGTGGAATAGGCCAGCCCATCATTGTGACCATGCCAGATGGACAGCAAGGTTAGTAGACATGTATGTGAGTTGACATTATTTTGAATTCTCAGGAAATTGTGATGTGTTTTCCAAAATGTTTATTTTGGCCTTGAATTACATTTTTGTAACCTTTTCCAACAGACATAACTGTCTAATTTTATTTGCTTAGGCTGATAGTTGAAATGAGTTTGAAGCTGGATGTGGTGGCATATAGCCATAATCCCACCATTCTCAGGTTGAGGCAGGAAGGTTGAGTTTGAACCCAAGCAGGGCAAAGTAGCAAGACTCTGACCCAAAATATTAAAAAATTAGGAGGCAGGGGCTGGAGAGATGGCTCAGTGGTCTAAAGCACCTACTTGGAACAAGCTCGGCAAAGCACAGGGACCGCGGTTCGATCCTCCAGCACCACATGCCAGCCAGCCGCGCCCCCTGGTGGGCTGAGCTGGCCACACACACACAATAATAAATAAATGTTAAAAATAAATAAATAAAAATTAAAAAAAAAAGAGTAAAAAGAGATTTAAAAAAAAAAATTAGGAGGCAGAAGGATTATGCTGTGAAGGTCCTGAGTTCCATCCCCAGAACCACCAAAAAAAAACAAGCTTATGTACCACCACTATACAAAAAATAAGGTATTCAAAGTCGTTATTGTGAGCCGGCAAGGTAGTTCAGTGGTCTGAAGCACCTGCTTAGGCAAGCACACAAGGACCATGGTTTGATACCTGGCACCACATGCCCCAGGGTGGGCTGAGCTGACGAAAAAAAAAAAAAAAAAGTCATCATTGGACCAGACTTTTGTACCATTTCATGCAGTTTACATATCATATGAACTTTTGAAAATCCCATGTAAGAAAAAACTCCTGAAAGCAAGAGCTTTGCTTAGGGCTTTGTAGTGGGAATATGCTGGTAGTTTTTATATTTATTGCTTCCCCAGTTTTTCCCTCTTGAAAACCACAAAGAATATCAAGATGAGTGAAACAGAAGCCAAGATGAATGAAGAATCTGAGAAAACCTTAAAATTCCACATTTTAGGAGCTGCCCAAAGCACCCAGGACCAGCATAGGCAGGGTGAGAAGAAGCCCACAGAGCAGAGCGAGTTAGGGCAGGGAAAGGCTGGGGCTGGGAGAGCACTGGGGAGTGAGCACGGCCGGAAATGGGGGCCTGGCCTGGAGAAGAGGAGGTGCTGCGAGCTGGGATAAGAGGGAGGCTGGAGAGTCCTGGGGAGGCCATGGGGGTGGCAGAGCAGAAGGTGCCGAGACTGCTGAGGCTGCCTCCCTCTGTGAGGGGGAGAGGGAGGACGGCTGCACCAGGGCTGGTTCTGAGTGACAGAGGTGTGGCTCTGAGGAGAGGAAAGGCTTTGTCACTGCACCCAGGGGGAGCCTTTGACTTGAAGGCCTGAATTCATTTGTATGTCTCCCTTATTTATAAAACAAATACATACAAATGCAAATTACTGATGAACAAATGGAAGAAAAGCCATGATTTTGGAAGAGAAGGCTCAAAATCATCCAGTTCCCGATTGTTTCTGGTTAACTTAGGAATTTGGTATATGATGGTCAGCTTGAAGGGCTGCTGTAGGGCGGTTCACAGGCCGGGAGCACAAGCAGCAGGAACACCTCTGCCCAGCCTGCGGGCTGCGGTCCGGTTGTGTCCCTTGTGGGCCACTCAGTGCGTGCGGTAGCTGTCCTGACCACTGTCTGTGCTCTGCAGTCACAGTGGAGTGGGACACCCGCGTTTTGCCTTACACACCCTTGAAAAGCCTTGTTTCCAGATGGAGTCTCAGTCAGTTTGTGGGGTAAGGACCTCGGTATATGAGCAGTGGCCGGGGCACAACTCGGTCTGTAACAGATCAGTAGGTTTTCCAGAGCTCACCGAATGATTCTGCTGTGTTGATGGTGAGAGGAGGAAAGGAGAAAAGTGGAACACTCTGGAAAAAAAGCGCAAGAGGGCCCTACGGAATATTAAACTTGAAAATGCAGCCCCATGGAGGATTAGGATGGTTCTGCATGGTCCTGTCCTGCAGAGCGAAGGCAGACTATTTCCTTTCCTGTGAAGAGGACAAAATCCAGTAGGAGAACAGGCTTACGATGTGTTCATGATAACGTGTGACAGTACAGGATACATAGCTCGCAGCAGGGAAGCTGTCTGTGCTTGTATAAGAGATGATGACTACGGGCAGCGCAGCGTGCTGGGCATGTGCAAATCCGAGGTGCACCGTAGGTGTGCTGTGCACACACGCCCATCTGTTTTCACATGAATTCAAGAATACACATGACCTTTGGCTGGAACTGCCATCTTCCAATAATTTGCCAAAATGACTAACACATTGCAAGAGGAGGAGTATATGTTCTCCAGGCTTTTTAGAAAACATGGAGTTATTCCTTTGGCCACGTACATGTGAATCTACAGAGAGGGTGATATTGTAGACATCAACGGAATGGGAACTGTACAAAAAGGCATGCCTCACAAATGTTACCATGGCAAAACGGGAAGAGTCTACAACATTACCCAGCATGCTGTTGGCATTGTTGTAAACAAGCAAGCTAAGGGCAAGATACTTGCCAAGAGGATTAATGTGCGTACCGAGCATATTAAACACTCAAAAAGTCATGATAGCTTCCTGAAACATGTCAAGGAAAAGGATCAGAAAAAGGAGCCAAAGAGAAAAGTACCTGGGTTCAACTGAAGCGCCAGCCTGCCCCTCCCAGAGAAGCACACTTTGTGAGGACCATTGGAAAGGAATCTGGGTTGTTGGAACCTATTCCCTATGAATTCATGCCATAAGCTGGGGGTATTGCTCTGCCATTCAGCACCCAATTGGCAGCTTGAGTGTTCTAGGTCTTACATAAAGATTAAATCCTGTGTTGTAAGGGTGGTTTTCTTAGTTGAACAGATATGTGGTGCCTTCTTACCTCAGAAATATTTGCAGCAGAATTTCAGTGTACCTAGTAATTGTGTCTAGTTTTTACTCTTCAGTGTTTTTCTTGCTGAAAGATATTGCTGAGGTATTGTGGAGGTGTATACCCAAATACTCAAGTATTTGTAAAATATTTATATTGGCTTGAAGATCCTGTAAATCACCAAGGGGAAAAGATGTATCAAAATAAGTGGAAATCACTTCAGAAACAGATGTAAGTCCATTTCAGTTAAATAAATTGTTTAAAGCACTCCCCCACAAATAAAAGACTACATATGAAACCAGTAAAACGATTGCATTGGTACGAGTGAACATGAAACCTTTCAAATGCTTGTTAAATATTTTGATTTTAGAGTCCTGTGAACATATTATAAAATTTAAAAACTAAATATAGTAAATAATAAGTAGATTTCAATACAAAAGCAAGACAATGTTTTGAAATTATTTGTACTATGCATATTTTAGATGGGCAGCATTAATGAAGTTACTACTGGTTTTATTTGGATTAAAGGCACCTGAGAATAGAGTAACTTGTGTGTTTTGTGTTCCAGTGTTAACAGTGCCTGCAACAGATATCGCTGAAGAAACTGTTATAAGCGAAGAGCCGCCGGCTAAGAGACAATGTATTGAAATAATTGAAAACCGGGTGGAATCTGCAGAAATAGAAGTAAGGAGTCTTTTACCCGGTGTGTTTAGCCGCAGTCATCCAAAATAAATTCTTTTTTATTTTTATCATTTTTGTCTTTTATATTTATAACAGCGTTTTGTTTTGATACAGAATGAAAGTGCATGGTATCCATTTGTTTCTTTTTTTTTTTGCCTTATACATATAGCAAGCCCTCAATAAATAAATATTGAATGAATGAGTGAGTGAAGACTTGTTTGTAAGAAGCCTGCCATGTGGTGCTTACGCTGGCCTGTCCTCAGCTCTCACCTTCCATCGTTTGCTTTCTGTTGGTCTTCTACTTGTCGTTCTCACAAGCCACGAAAGGGAAATGCAAATAGAGACTGAGGCGAGACATTTTTTTCCTTGAAAAAGTGAAACTCAAATAAGTGCCTAATTGCACTATCTAGGGTCCTCCTAAAGAGGGATGGTGTCTAATGGGTTGTGCTTTCTAAAATTGCACATTACTGCTAAGATTCACCTTTCTCCTCAAACTAGTTTATAAGTGTACACTAGTTTGTAGTGCAAACCACAGTTGCCTGTGGGTTTTTTTCCTCACATGTGTATAAATAAGTTTCCTAAATTTATAGCTTACATAAAATACAAAACAAAGTTGTTTTTAATGCTATGGAAATAGAACTGAACTTAAAATTGATTAAGCTGGGTTCTGAATGCGCTGTCTAGACTGTTAACTTTAAACTATCCTGGCTTTCGGAGTCTGTTTTACTTTCTTCTAGATTAGAATCCAGAATAATATCTCCATCTCCGTTTTAGGTTTTTATTCCAAAAGCATTCTCATATTTAGCGTTATATGTACATGGTAAATTTGGTGAGCCTTTAGCAGTTCATAAAAGTTCTTGTTTCCACAGGAAGGGGATTTTTGTAAAAATTCACTAAAAGGAACATAACTGTTAACACAGAATATATATTCACTAAACTATCAGACTGGTACATATTTGGTTATATTCATAAATAGTACATTATGGAGTTTAAAAGAATCTGATTAATAATTTAACCAGAATTACCTGGTAGAGTTATAACTAATGTGAGTTGTTGTATTCAGAATTTAAAGTGATATGCAGGAAAATGTTCTTATTTGCTAACTTATGCCAATTAATATCAGCATACTTGTTATGTAATACACTTTATTGTTATTTTCTCATGTGTCAGATGATCTTTTGCAAATACACAAGGTGAACAGAAATTGTCAATAAAACATTTTAAATAAAACATTTAAGAAGCTATCTAATAAAAAAAAAAAATCAAAAACAAAACAAAACAAAAAAACAATTTTCAGGGCTGGGGAAATAGCTCAGTAGAATAAGTACTTGCCGGGCAAGCCTGAGTTCAATTCCTGGTTTTGCAAAAAACAAAAACAACAAACAAACAATCAACCCCCCCCCAAAAGAAACAAAAAACAAAACAAAAAACCAATTGTAATGGAGACCTCAATATTCCACTGTCACAAGCAGACAGATCAGCTAGACAAAACAAATCAATTATGAAATATTAGAACT